TATCTATCTATCTATCTATCTATCTATCTATCTATCTATCTATCTATATCAAGGGTCTTCAAACTTGGCAAGTTTAAATCTTGTGGACTTCAACTCCCAGAATTCTTTAGCTAACATGACTGGAGGAGGAATTCTGGGAGTTGAAGTCCACAAGTCTTAAAGCTGTCAAGTTTGAAGACCCCTGCTTTAAAGACTGAAGAAACTAGTTGGACAAGCGGTAAAATGTTTCACACAAAAGAAAAAGAAAAGAAGTCCAGCCACCATGACTCAACTTCCAGACTTTAAGGGCTGTTCAACCAGGGCTTGGGTGTTTGTTGAGCTTTCTTGGTTGTGTTTTCTATCTGAGGGAGTGTGTTTGTCCGGATGTACGGGATTTCATCTCTAGTGTTGTTTTTTAATTGTTTCCTATTTTTAGTGTAAGCTGCCCAGAGACACTTTGGAGTCTGGTAGCCTCTGAATTTCATAAGCAAATGAACAAACAAAAAGGTTGTTCTTGAGCGGAAGTTCAAAGGGCCCAGCCGGATAGGGCTGGAGGCCTGTCTAGACATAGCCATCTACCAGAGAGGAGGAAGGCCAAAATAAAAAATTAAGATGGAGGTGGTGATACCTGCATGACGGAAACCCCACCCTTTTAAACATGTCTTGCACATGTGATGGAGGATACTTCTATTGCGAGAGCAAAATCTGTCTCCAAAATTGCCTCACTTCCGGGCATCCTGCATACTACTACCACTATTGCTAGGTACTATTACTGCATGCTGCCAATCCTGCCAGCAAAATGTAATAAAGCGACCCAATTCTCACCTGCAAACAGCATAAAATTCATTTTTAAAAAAATCAATAAATAGCAATGATAACACAGGCCAAAAAAAATAAAGGAAAAAGGAAGAAAGGAAGGAGAAGGAGGGAGGGAAGGGAAGGAAGGAGAGGGAGGGGGAGGGAAGGAAGGAGGGAGAGGGGGAGGAAAGGAAGGAAGGGAAGGGGAAGGGAAGGAAGGAGAGGGAGGGAAGGAAGGCAGGAGAAGGGGAGGGGAGGAAGGCAGGAGAGGGAGGGGAGGAAGGCAGGAGAGGGAGGAAGGAGATGGAGGGAATGGAAGGGAAAAAAGGAAGGAAGGAAAAGAAAGGAAAGGAAAAAGAAAGAAAGAAAGAAAGAAAGAAAGAAAGAAAGAAAGAAAGAAAGAAAGAAAGAAAGAAAGAAAGAAAGAAATCGATCATATATGACCCTTCCATTGGTTTTCACCAACTTCCAAACACCTGTGATTCCCCTCCCCTCCAAGGGAGGGGGGGGAGATAGTCTGAGAAGCTTTTCCTATGAATTGTCACAATGAAGGAGGAATTGTGCTATTAAGTCAATTGCCTACCATCAAAATTAGGAGCAGATGCAATCTGCCCATGTCATTTTAGCCTTCTCCCCATCAACGTAAGACCAGGGAGCAGAGAAAGGAGTTTGCTGCTGGAAGAGTCTACATAAGCAGACGTCACTTGAAAGGAATGGAAGACTTTACTAGAATTCCTAACCTCCTACTCATCAAGAAACACGAGCTTTTGTTCCTTGTGCTGCACTGGACCCTGCCTAAGTGTAGACTTTCCTGCTAGAAATTTGAGAAGGAAAAGTCCTCACACCAACAACGGTCCAAAGTAGTCAAAAGAACCCTGCCCTCTTCTTTCCTCGGATATTTTGCAATAAGCACACCCCAAATAAGGACAGGTCAGATGGCCCCCTCCCACAAGATTCCCAGAGTGCACTCATGATGGGAAAACCATGCCCCAAATGGTTCACGTTTTCTGGAAGCAAATCTTCCAGAATGACAAATGGCCCCCAGAGTTCCCGGTGTGAATGGGACGGTGGGTTTTGCATAGCCCTAGAGAGCCACCCTGAATATTTTTGCTTGTCTAAGTGTGGGAAATTCCCACGTGTTCAGTTAGTAATGGAGAAGAAATGAAATAGGGGAGAGACACATCTTCTTCTCTAAAGCAGTATTTTATTCTTATTTTTATTATCTCTCTCTCCCCCCCCGCACCCTCCCTCCCTCTCCCTTCTATCTGAACATACCTATCATCCATCTATTTATCTGATCTTGTCTGTCTGTCTGTATCTGAACATATCCAGAGGTGGGGCTGCTGGGGGTTTGCAGGGGTCCGGGAGAGCCCCTAGCTAAGATTCTGTGCAGTTTGGAGAACCCCCAAATCCCACTCCTGTCTGGCCCCGCCCACCCCTTCCCTCCCCTGAGCCCCCACGATGCAGATAAGTGCAGGGCGCACATGGAGGCTCAGGGAGGGCGAAAAACGGGCTTCCCAGAAGTTCAGGAAACTGGAAACGGGCCTGTTTCTAACTTCCAGGGAGCCTCCGGGGCCCAGAGACGCCGTTTTCACCCTCCTGGAGGCTTGAGGAAAGCCTCCGGAGCCCGGGGAGGGCAAAAACATTCTCTCTGCAGTGATGCAGGAGGCTGACTAGGCCATGCCCACCCAGCAACTGGGCAGAGAACCCTTTGCTAAAATTTTTGAAGCCCACCCCTGAACATATCTATCTATCTATCTATCTATCTATCTATCTATCTATCTATCTATCTATCTATCTATCTATCTATCTATCTATCTCATCTATCTATCTATCTATCTATCTATCGATGATAATCTACCTACCTACTTATCTGATCCTATCTATGTATCGATGTATGTATCTACTGTATCTACCTACCTACCTACCTACCAATCCACCCTACTTATGCTGACAGAGGAGGCATACCGTGGGCCGTGTGACCAGGGTATTCTGGCTGGCAGAGTCCAGGAAGACGGCCTTCTCTACCATTGTTCCAGCTCTTTGGGACATCTGCCCCACCCCTTCACATTAAGGGTGGTGGGTAGATTAACGACGGATCCTACTTCTCCCCCATTCCTGCTCCTGCCCTCCTCCTCTTTTAATCAGACCACAGAATTTGGATCTTCACCAAAAAATTTTATTTAGGTCTTTTAGTTTTTGTATAGTTTTTCTCTTTTTAAGATTGTAAGCCAGCCAGAATTACCCTGTGGTAAGATGGGCAGCCAATATAATTTTGCAAAACAAACAAATGTCATTGATGATTATAGATGATTACAGAATTTCTCTTTTGGTCTACATCTAACTCCTTTTTTTTCTTTTAGTAGAATCGTATTTATTCTTTCTCTACTCCTCCCCGATCATTTAATTCACAGTCTCTGCAAGACCATCATGGATCCTTTGTACCTTATGATTTCCCCATAGCCGGGCCAGCCCATTGGGGTCCACTATCCGAAATATTTTGGATTCTCTGTCCTCCCATCGGATGAAATTTTCGTACCGGCTGTCGGAGAGCAATTGATAGACGTAATCCCAGAGGAGTCTGCAGTCTGGAAAGAGAACGACAGAAAAGTCTTCAAAAGGTTCCTGACGGAAATGAAATTAGTTAATTGGCCAACACTGACTCACCTCCAGGAAAAACACCACGAACTGTCAGACATTAACTCTATTTCTCTGATAAAGTATTGAGATACTATTGCTGCTTGTGAAGAATCCCAAAGCAATTGACACTCGTTATACGGTGATATTTTAGAATAAAACCGATCCATTATAAAGACAGGTGCCAGGAGGTGTTCAGAGCGGAGATGTGCCACGAGAAAAAGGAGCTGTGATGGCACAGTGGTTAGAATGCAGTATTGCAAGCTACTCTGCCAACGGCCAGCAGTTCGATCCTGACTGGCTCTAGGTTGACTCATCCTTCCGAGGTGGGTAAAATGAGGAGCCATATTGTTGAGGGGGCAATAGGCTGACTCTGCAAACCGCTTAGAGAGGGTTGTAAAAGCACTGTGAAGCGGTATATAAGTCTAAGTGCTATTGCTACTGCTTTTTAAGAGGAAACTGAAAACATGTTGGACAAGGTTGTTGTGGTTCACTGGCAGCAGAATCGGTCAGTGGGGAAGAACATGGACCAGTCTGGGAGTCTGGGGAGGACTCAGACGAGGTTCCTTCGTCTGATACAGAGATGGGGCCAGGACCATCTGGGAGTTATGTGCTGACTCCGGAGCCTCCAGAATCTGGCAGCAGCGAGGCAGAGGAATAAGGGGAGCCTGTTCCCAGTGTGTGTGTGCACAGAGCTGCCAGAAGGCAAGAGCAGCTAAGACAAAAGAGGCGACTCGGGAGTAAGGCTTGGAGGTGTTTGCCCCTCCCATAAGATATAAAGGAAGTGCAAAGGTAGGGAAACCTTTGCAGGAAGCAAAGTCATTCGCTCCAATCGGTTTGGACTCTGACAGCTTCGTGGTGAATTTATTCTGTTTGATTTTGGAAAGACTAATTGGGACTTTGGTCGTTGGCAGCACTTCAAGTAAGATAAGGTGTGTTCTTATCAGACGTCTTACAAAGAACTTTGGCAGACGTCCCTGGGACTAATTATAACCGGTAAAGACTCATTCCGGGCCGTGAATGATGATAATTCACAGCCATTGAACTAAAATAAAAGAGTTTTGGATTTTATATGTGTTTGTTGGTGTCTCAGGAAGCCTTGGTCAGAACAAAGGTCAGCTGCAGATGGTAGGTCCCTCCAAAGAAGAGGAGGATGTCCCCACAGAGAAGGTGTCCTTCCGTGGTGCCACAAAGGGCCAACCTACAAGATATGGCGAAGACAGGAAGACCGTCTTCCATGAAGAACCTCAGTGTGTTGGTGGCCCAACTAATTGAAGATGTTCAACACCTACAAGGCTGAAGTCCATCCAGACTAGCCTTCTTCAAGCTGATAAGTCTCCAAGGGTATTGAAGAATGCCTCCTTTCCATTCTCACCAACAGTCAGCATTCTAATACAGGTAGTCCTCAATTTACAACATTGAGTGACCGTTTAAAGTTACCACGGCAGTGAAGCGACTTATGACCGTTTTTCACAGTTACAACCTTCGTAGCATCCCCATGATCGTGAGTTTTGTGTCAACTTAAAAATATTGCTTTAGTCTTTTTAGTTGCCAGCAGAAAGGGAGTGGGGGAAAGTAGTGCATTCCTTAAATGTTTCAGATAATTGCTAGGCAACCGAAGCTGCTGGCGGGCAAGATTATTACTAGAGAGCATGATTGATGACTCTTGGCTATGGATGTGTCCCATTGGAGAATATACATCCAGGGGATGGGGGGAAGACTGGGGTCAAGGGTGAAATGAATGAGGTGTCATAAGAGTCAGCTGCACCCAGGTAACACTGACATTGTCACTCCTAATAAATCAGTTTTTTTACTCTGAGAGATGTGGCTAGAGACTTATGATTTGAATAAGGGTGATTTGTCGGAACCCTGACATTTTGCCCCATTTTACGGTTTTTCTTACCACACTTGCTAAGTGAACCATCGCAGTCGTTAAATCAGTAACCCGGTTGTTAAGTAAACCTGGCTTCCCCACTGACTTTCCTTGTCGGAACCGGTCACAAAAAAAGGATCCCATGAGCTTGGAATTCATTCATAAAAGTGAGTCGAATGTAAATCACCTAACCCTGGGGATGCTGCTATGGTCATCAGTGTGAAAAAAACTTTTTTCAGTGCCGTTGTAACTTTGAACGGTCACAAAAGAACAGTTGTAAGTCGAGGACTACCTGTACAGATTAGCAGAATCGTGCATCATATATCTAATATGAATGTAGCACTATTTCACTTGCCTGTATTTAACACAGTTTTTCCACAAAAACATTAAAATCAGAGCAATTATTCTGGAGGTATTACAACTTCTCTTGATAGTTGGATTGAGTTTTTCCCATTATAGTCCCAAAAGGCCAATGAATTATCTAGACCAGATGAGTAGGCTGGCTGGGGAATAGTGAGAACTGAAGGCCACACATCTCAAAAGTTGCCAGATTTGAGAAGCGCTGTCCTAAAATACTATTTAGCTGCAGAAATGCAGGGATTCTGGAAGAATAACATTTTATTTTATTTTCCTGCTCTTTTCCTTTCTTTCCCAAGCTATTTTTATATGTTTCCTTCCTTGTCAAGAGAAATGGCAGTTTGCATGTATGGTTATATGTTTAAAACATAATAATCCCAGAACAAAAAGCAGATGGAAAGGCAAGAATTGTGTTTCCTTCTCTTTCCTTGTTGCCAATTCCGGCCCAGTTCCACCCTATCCTGCTTATGGTTAGGATCAACGGAAAAAAGAATTTCTCCTCACAAACCTCTCAAGAGGTTTTTTTTAAAAAACAAACAAACCCAAGGGTTGTATTACAAAGAGAATCCATGAGGAGAAATAATTTGAGTTCTGCTCTCCTGATGTGCTATTAGGGAAAACTACCGCCTTCTCCTAGTTTCTAGTTTCCTTCTTAGCTGATAAAAGAAATCAACCAACTTTGCAGTAAATATTGGAATACTTTCAAATTGGGAAGAAAACAAAAGAGTAAGAAGAAAAATTGTGAACACACACACACAAAAAAACCCCGTGTTAAATTTAACAAGACGAAGAAAACAAGCAGAAAATCAGAAGGTGGCTCTTTGTGGAGATTATAGGTAGCCCTCAACTTATGACCACAATTACTAAGTGAGGCAGTTGTGAAATTAACTGAATCGTGAGATTCAATTCAGTGAATCTGATGTGGTTAGCCAGCAGCAGGTGTGGACGGCTGAGGAGAGTGAGGACTCAGATGAGGGGGCAGGACCACTAAGGAGTGGACTGCTGCCTTCAGAGATTGTGGGGGCTGGCAGCAGCGATGAGGAAATTCCCTAGGAGCCTGTGCCAAGTGCGTGCGCGCATAGGAAAGAGCAGCTACAACAGCACGAGCGACTCGGGAGTAAGGCTGCAAGGTAATGGCCCCTCCTTCAAGAAGATAAAAGCCAGTTGTGAAGTGAACGTTCTTTGCAGGAAGCAAAGACGTTTTGAAACTCAGCCTCGTGGACATTACAGTTGGTATTTGAAGACTCTTGTGTTGTAAATTATTTCTTATCTGTTGTTTTTTGGTAGCCTTGCAAAAACTTGGCAAGGTTCTTTCTTGTCGGAGCTAATTAGTTGGAAGCAGCCTTTTATCTGTGAAGAAAAAAGAATCCATAGATGAAACATTAAAAGGTTGTGCTGCTGCCTTTGTCTTGGGTTTGCTCTCTTGGAACCAGGTTTGGGTCAGAACAGAATCAGCAGAACGACTTGGATCCAGAAGTTGTGAATGCTCAGACACTGGAAGTTTTAAAGAAGAGGCTGTGCAACCATTTGTCTGAAATCGTATATGGGGCTTCCTGCCTAAGCAAGGGGTTGGACTAGAAGACCTCCAAGGTCCCTTCCAACTTTGTTATTCTATGCTAATCCATCTTCCCCCATCGACTTGGCTTGTCGGAAGCTGGCTGGAAAGGTTACAGATGGTGATCACATAACTCTGGGACAGCACAACTGTCATAAATATTATATGTCAGTTGTCAAGTCCCTGAATTCTGATCACATGACCACGGAAATGCTGCAATGGTCGTTAAGTGTGAAAAATGGTCATAAGTCACTTTTTAAAGTGCTGTTGTAACTTCAAATGGTCACTAAAAATGGTTGTAAGTCAAGGACTGCCTATATGGGTTTAATTACTTACTTACTGACACATATTTTAAATTTATGTACAGGTAGTCCTCCACTTACGACCGCAATGAAGTCCAGAATTATTTTGCTAAGTAAACCAGCTGCTAAATGAATTCTGCCCCATTTTATGACCTTCCTTGCCACCGTTGTTAAATGAATCTCTGCAGTTTTAAAATTACTCACACAGTTGTTAAGCAAATCGGTCTTCCTCACTGACTTTGCTTGTCAGAAGGTCGCAAAAGGGGATCCCTTGAACCCCAGGACATTGCAACCGTCATAAATACGAATCAGTTGCCAAGTGTCTGAATTTTGATCCCATGACCAGGGAGATTCTGCAATGGTCGAGTGAAAAACAGTCGTAAGTCATTTTTTTCAGTGCCTTGGTAACTTTGGTCACTAAATGAACTGTTATAAGTCAAGGACTACCTGGAAAGATTTTTCCAATCTTCGACTATCCTCTCTGTGCAACTGAGGAGGCCCTTGTTGATGTATGGTTTGCATACCGCTGTTCCAGACAAAGGCCTTAGACTTTGGAAAATTAAGCAAATTTGAGGGGTCACCATTCTATTCCTTGAATCTCTCATACAGAAGCAGCTGCAGTGGTGGGATTCAATTTTTTTTTTACTACCAGTTCTGTGGGCGTGGCTTTGTGGGTGTAGCAAGGGAAGGATACTGCAAAATCCCCATTCCCTCCCCACCCCACTAACCTGCTTTCCAGCTCCGTTCTCTTGTGCAGGGCAACCAAAGAAGACCCAGCCAATCAGCTGGGGCTCAGGAGGCGGAGAAGAGATGGGGGCGGGGCCAGTCAGAGGCGGTATTCTGAACTACTCAAAATTTCCGCTA